GAGGGGGTGGGGGAGAGAGGGGAGGGAGAGGGAGAGAGAGAGGGGAGGAGAGAGGGAGGGGAGGGAGGGGAGGGGGAGGGGAGAGAGGGGAGAGAGGGAGGGGGAGTAAGGGAGGGGATGTAGGGAGAGGAGGGAGGGAGGGTAGGGAGAGAGAGGGGAGGTAGGGAGAGGAGGGTAGGGGAGAGAGGGGAGGGGGTGTAGAGAGAGGGAGTGGAGAGGAGGGGGGGGGAGAGGAGGGGAGAGAGGGAGGGGTGTAGGAGAGAGGGAGGGGTGTGGGGAGAGAGGGGAGGGGGGTGTAGGGAGAGGGAGGGAGGTGTAGGAGAGAGGGAGAGGTAGGAGAGAGGGAGGGTGGGGAGAGAGGGAGGGGAGGGGAGAGAGGGAGGGGGGTGTAGGGAGAGGGGAGAGGGAGGGTAGGGAGAGAGGGAGGGAGAGAGGGGAGGGGTGTAGGAGAGAGGGGGAGGGAGGGAGGGAGAGAGGGGGGAGGGGGAGAGGTAGGGAGAGGGGAGAGGAGAGAGGGAGGAGAGAGAGGAGGGAGAGAGAGTAGGAGAGAGGGGAGGGGTGAGGAGGAGGGAGGGGTGGGGAGAGAGAGAGGAGAGAGGGGAGGGTGGGGAGAGAGGAGGGAGGAGAGAGAGGAGGGGGTGTAGGGAGAGGAGGGGAGAGGGAGAGGGAGAGGAGGGGTAGGGAGAGAGGGGAGGGGTGTAGGGGGTGGGAGAGAGGGAGGGTGGGAGAGAGGGGAGGGGTGGGGAGAGAGGGAGGGTAGGGGAGAGGGAGGGGTGGGAGAGAGAGGGAGGGGGTGAGGGGAGAGGGAGGGGAGGGAGGGAGGTGAGAGAGGGAGGGGAGAGTAGGAGGAGAGAGGGGAGGGGAGGGAGAGGGGAGGGTGTAGGGAGAGAGGGAGGGTGTAGGGAGAGAGGGAGGGGGAGGGGGGAGGGGAGAGAGGGGAGGTAGGGAGAGAGGGAGGGGTGGGGAGGAGGGGAGGAGTAGGAGGGAGAGGGGAGGGTGGGGAGAGAGGGGAGGAGAGGGAGGGGTGTAGGGAGAGAGGGAGGAGGGGTGTAGGAGAGAGGAGGGGTAGGGAGAGAGGGTGGGGTAGGGAGAGAGGGAGGGTAGGGGAGAGAGGGAGGGGGTGTAGGGAGGAGAGGGGGAGGAGGAGTGTAGGAGAGAGGGAGGGGTGTAGGGAGAGAGGGAGGGAGGGTAGGAGAGAGGGAGAGGGGAGGGGAGGAGGGAGGGGGTGTAGGGAGAGAGGGAGGGTAGGAGAGAGAGGGAGGGGGGGGAGAGGAGGGGAGGGGGAGGGGAGAGGGAGGGGGGGGTAGGGAGAGAGGGAGGGGGTAGGGGAGAGAGGGAGAGAGAGGGAGGGGGTAGGGAGAGAGGGAGGTGTAGGGAGAGAGGGAGGGAGAGAGGAGGGAGTAGGGGGGTGGGGAGAGGGAGGGGGTGTGTAGGGAGAGAGAGGAGGGAGGGGGGGAGAGAGAGGGAGAGGGGGAGGGGAGGGGGTGTAGGAGAGAGAGGGAGGGGGTGTAGGGAGAGAGGGAGGGGGTGGGGAGAGAGAGGGAGAGGGGTGTAGGGAGAGAGGGGGGGGGTAGAGAGAGGGGAGGGGGGGTAGGGAGGTAGGGAGAGAGGGAGGGGAGAAGGAGGGCACACAGGCTGGTAAACGGTAGTAGTCGTGCCCCACAAAGTGTAAGGTGCATTGTAACGGATGGAGGGTGGTAGAAGGAGGAGGAATGCAACCATTCCCCCCTGCCCCCCAAGTCAATACGGGAATTTGAGTAGTTTTTGTCACCGTCTCACAAATGTGGTCAAAGTAATAGTTCAAGAGGTCTTTCCCGTCACCTGATTTCAACCGTGTGTCTTGTCTTTGTAAATGTGCGTCTGTGTGTACGTGTGTGTATGTGTATCTGTGTGTATGTGTGTATATGTGTGTCTGTCTCCTCCTCCTCCTCCTCATCCTCCTCTCACGTGTACAAGATAAGACTTACTTGTAGACGAGACGGCCAACAGACGGGAGAAAACTTAAAAAACTCTACCTGCACTAATTAACAGGGGCTGGGGGCCACTTACCTGCATGAATACGACACACCAGAGGCTGAGGTTATCACTTTACAAACCACCTGGCTCCCTCGACGCTACAGGACAATCCGTGGGCACGCATAACAAACCGCTTTTGTTCGCTAATTGATGCCCTGTTTTCGTTAGTTTAAGCTGTCGAAGTGGGAAATCGGCGTCTTTGTTCGCTAATTCATGTTTTCGCTAGTTTAAGCTGGTGAAGACGCAGCCGTCATCTTGTTTTGTTACATTGTGATGTGTGTCAGTGATCCATTTTCTCTTGTGTTGAATTATTATTGTGTTTTATTTTACATTGTGTTGATTTTATGGTTTTAATTCGATGTTTAAGTTGCCATTGTGTTGAGTTACCGATGTTTAAGTTCCCATTATGTTGAGTTACCGATGTTTAAGTTCCCATTGTGTTGAGTTACCGATGTTTAAGTTCCCATTATGTTGAGTTACCGATGTTTAAGGTCCCATTGTGTTGAGTTACCGATGTTTAAGGTCCCATTGTGTTGAGTTACCGATGTTTAAGTCTCCATTGTGTTGAGTTACCGATGTTTAAGTCTCCATTGTGTTGAGTTACCGATGTTTAAGTTCCCATTGTGTTGAGTTACCGATGTTTAAGTTCCCATTGTGTTGAGTTACCGATGTTTAAGTTCCCATTGTGTTGAGTTTACCGATGTTTAAGTTCCCGATTGTGTTGAGTTACCGATGTTTAAGTTCCCATTGTGTTGAGTTACCGTCTCCATTGTGTTGAGTTTAAGTTCCCATTAAGTCTCCATTGTGTTGAGTTACCGATGTTTAAGATTGTGTTGAGTTACCGATGTTTAAGTCCCATTGTGTTGAGTTACCGATGTTTAAGGTCCCATTGTGTTGAGTTACCGATTTTTAAGTTCCCATTGCGTGAGTTACCGATGTTTAAGTTCCCATTGTGTTGAGTTACCGATGTTTAAGTTCCCATTGTGTTGAGTTACCGATGTTTAAGTCTCCATTGTGTTGAGTTACCGATGTTTAAGTCTCCATTGTGTTGAGTTACCGATGTTTAAGTCTCCATTGTGTTGAGTTACCGATGTTTAAGTTCCCAGTGTGTGAGTTACTGAGGACTAGTTAATATGACTCGCAGATGCTCTTTTACTTTGTTACATTTTTTTTTGTTAATTCTTATTTTTTTTTTGTTTATTTTTTTTATTGTATTTTCCCCGCGAGGTCACTTGTCTGGCACGAGGGAGTTTAAAAAAAATGTAAGACTTTATTTTGAAATGGAGGTCGCTTGGTGGAGAGGACGGAAAGAGAAGTATCTGTCTGTGTGTCTGTCTGTCTGTCTGTCTGTCTCTGTACCGTGACGGAGCGTGTGAGGAAAGTCTTATTTGTCTGGTAGTGAGAGGGAAGTTATTTGTCTGTCTGTCTGTCAGCAAGAGGAAAGTGACTGTCTGAGTGGGCTGGAAACTATCATTTCCCCATTTTCTTTACAACTCAGTTTTACTCCTACAGTTTTACATATTATTTAATATAACTCTCCTTCATGTATTGTAGTTTGTCAGGGAGGTCAGGTCAAAGGTCACATATCAAAAAGCGCTCAACACACTGACCCTTTCGACTCTCACTGACCATCACCACGACCTCATCTGCAAATTTGGTAAGAAGCTTCTACACCATCCTCGACACCGGCTCCTACTACCACCTGAGATCCCTAGTCCGAGAATTGCTGTTCGACACCACAACCGCATCCAGCCCATACGTGCACGAACTGATCGCTATAAGAACAGCCCAGTCCCAACCATTGTAAAAATTATCAATAACTTGTAATAAACCAGTGTATTCACTCCCAGTAAACACTACTCTTGCACTGTCACTATGTTGAAATGAACTGTAGTTTGAGCTTTTCCCCATCTAGTTATTATATATCTTATTTGTGTCACTTATGTTACTTGTATATTATTTGTAATTCGTAACCCATTCCCCAAATATGTAACTGTATATTTTCAGCCTTCTGGCTGCCAAGCTCTTTCAATAAACCGTTAATTATTATTATTATTATTATTATTATTAGGTGTCATATCGCTCCTTTGTCATGTCTTGGAGTCAAAGGTGTCATATCGTTCCTGTGTCATGTCTTGAGGTCAATTGTGTCATATGGCTTTCCAGTGGCATATATTTCCTGCCATGTGTGAAGATCAAATGTGTCGTATCTTCCTCGTGTCAAGTCCTGAAGTCCAACAAAGGTGTCATCATCGTTCCAGTGTCATAAATCTCTGAAGTCAAATCTGGAGGTCAAATGTGTCATAATAACGTTCCTGTGTCAATTCCAAAGGTCAATTGTGTCATATCTTTCCTGTTTTCATAGACCACCGAGGTTACGTCTGGAGGTTAAAGGTGTCGTAAAATCGTCCCTGTGTCAATTCCAAAGGTCAATTGTGTCATATCTTTCCTGTGTCAAGTACGGTCGTCACAGGTCAAAGGGGGTCATTTTTATTTCAATATTTGCTACGTGTGTGTCTGCCTGTCCGCTTCATGATGCTCTCGGAATCCCTTTGAGTTCGAGCTTCATTTGGCGGTGTTTTGTGCTGTGTTATACTTTAATATTATGTACCAGGGTGAGGGAAAAATCTCTCTCTGCACCTGCCGCCCTCATCATTATCATTTATCATCATTATTATCATCATCATCTTTGTATTCATTATTTTCTTAATGTTATTTATTATTTCATCATCCTCATTATATTTTTTTTTCATCATCATTATCATCATCATCATCATTATCATTTACTGTAATATCCATATGGAGATAAATTTTGTCATGCGAACTTTTACGATAATTACGAACTATAAATACGAACCATTACAGAAAGCATCGACCAATAAACACCATAACATAATTTAGAAACTTATTGGTGGATTTTAGGGTTGAAAATAGCTGGTAGTTCCTGGTAGTTTATGGCAGCTCCTGATAGCACCTGATAGCCTCTAATAGCACCTGATAGCCTCTAATAGCACCTGATAGCCTCTAATAGCACCTGATAGCCCCTGATAATCCTTGCTAGTTCCTCGTACCTCCTGATAACCCTTGTCAGTTCCTGGTACCTCCTGATAACCCTTGTCAGTTCCTGGTACCTCCTGATAACCCTTGTCAGTTCCTGGTACCTCCTGATAACCCTTGTTAGTTCCTGGTACCTCCTGATAACCCTTGTCAGTTCCTGGTACCTCCTGATAACCCTTGTCAGTTCCTGGTACCTCCTGATAACCCTTGTCAGTTCCTGGTACCTCCTGATAGCCCTTGTTAGTTCCTGGTACCTCCTGATAACCCTTGTCAGTTCCTGGTACCTCCTGATAACCCTTGTCAGTTCCTGGTACCTCCTGATAACCCTTGTTAGTTCCTGGTACCTCCTGATAACCCTTGTTAGTTCCTGGTACCTCCTGATAACCCTTGTCAGTTCCTGGTACCCTCCTGATAACCCTTGTTAGTTCCTGGTACCTGATAACCCTTGTAGTTCCTGGTACCTCCTGATAACCCTTGCTAGTTCCTGGTACCTCCTGATAACCCTTGTTCCTGGTACCTCCTGATAAGTTCCTGGTACCTCCTGATAACCCTTGTCAGTTCCTGGTACCTCCTGATAACCCTTGTAGTTCCTGGTACCTCCTGATAACCCTTGCTAGTTCCTGGTACCTCCTGATAACCCTTGTCAGTTCCTGGTACCTCCTGATAACCCTTGTCAGTTCCTGGTACCCCCTGATAACCCTTGCTAGTTCCTGGTACCTCCTTATAACCCTTGCTAGTTCCTGGTACCTCCTGATAACTCTTGTCAGTTCCTGGTACCTCCTGATAACCCTTGTCAGTTCCTGGTACCTCCTGATAACCCTTGTTAGTTCCTGGTACTTCCTGATTGCTTCTATAGTTCATGATAGCCCCTGATAGCCCTTGAGAGTTCCTGGTAGCCCCTGATAGCCCTTGATAGTTCCTTGTAGCCCCTGATAACCCTTGTTAGTTCCTGATAGCCCCTGGTAGTTCCTGGTAGTTCCTGGTTTGTTTTTCGAGCGGAAATTGGAATCGTACGAGTGATGGGTAACTTTGGTCTGGAGTTGTTGTTTGTGTTCAGTTTAATATATGCAAGAGGCGATAATGTTGAGGAAAGTGAAATCTAGTGGAACTTTTTTAACACTGGTTGACTAAATTGAGTAACAGAATCAATTGGCTTTAGTGCTGATGGGGCCCTTAGTGTTGATGGAGGCCCTTAGTGTTGATGGAGGCCCTTAGTGTTGATAGAGGCCCTTAGTGTTGATGGAGGCCCTTAGTGTTGATGGAGTCCCTTAGTGTTGATGGAGGCCCTTAGTGTTGATGGAGGCCCTTAGTGTTGATAGAGGCCCTTAGTGTTGATGGAGGCCCTTAATTTCTAACAGGTCTGAGGGTGAAGTAAGGGATGAGTGGTGGAGTCGGTACAATGTTTCCCTCCTGTATCCGGATCATTGGTTTGCGCCTGTGTGTGTGTGTGTGTGTGTGTGTGTGTGTAAAAATTGTTCTGGACCTTAAATTCAGTGTGTGACAACTATGAACACCTGCAGGTAAACATGTACACAATATTCAGGTGTGTTGAGGGAGGGAGATACACAGGTATAATATGTCTGGCCGACACACCTGGCGTTCGTCTCCACCCCACAATGACGCACTTATCGGGGTATGTGTTAAGGTGAACGATCGCTTCCCTTCTACCTGGGCTGGAGCGAGTGTATCACGTGAAGATTAACCCCAAGTTTATTTTATCTTATGATTAACTTAACCTAACCTAACTTAAATGTAATCTAATCTCACACTTATCTTAACATAACGCAACCTAGCCTAACTTAGCCTAACCTAACGATAACTTAGTCTAATGTAACCTAACTTCACACCAAACTAACCTAACATCATAACCAACAATAAGCTAGCCCCCCAGGTGTTTTTAATCATCGGGTGTAATATGCTGGAGAGGTTAATCTTGAGGTGAACCGAACGAATACTACACTAAGTCAGATCACATTACGGTCGAGAGAGTTGTTATCCCAGTCATTTATCTGCGTTCAGTCAACCCAGTTCCCTCCTTTCTTGATCTAACTGGTGAAAGTTGTACACATGTGATATCTTTTTTCCAAGAGCTATTTAACGAGGCCAATAATATATATTTTGTCTGTCCATGTTTCTGTAATGGTCTAAGTTTAATTTGGTGAGAAGAGAGAGAATTTACAGGTGTATCGACAGCGCTAGGTTAGGTCATGTCTGTAAAAAAAATTAACATCTGGTTGCCGGGTTCGAACCCGTGAAATCACAGTTAGTAGTTAGGCAGCTTATCCACTGGACACGATGTACTTAACTACAGTATTTACTTGTAACTCAAGGTTCCCCGCCCACCACTGTGGAGCCACACACGGTTCCCAGACAGCTTTACTCAGATAACATAAGAATATAAGAGTGGAGGAAACTGCAACGGGCCTATTGGCCCATACTGGGCAATCCTGTTTACACCTATCCCCTATCGCTCATATATCCACCCAACCTATGTTTGAAGCTATCCAGCGTATTCGAGTTAATGATAATGTTTGGTAACTTGTCCCACTCATCCTCTACTTTATTTTCAAACCAGTGTTTACCTATTTCGCGCCTAAATCTAAATTCGTCAAATTTAAACCATTGCCACGAGTTCGGTCCTGGTTGGATAGTTTGAGTACCTTTGTAATGTCCCTTTTGTTTAGCCCTGACTTCCATTTAAACACCTCGATCATATCGCCCCTCACTTTACGTCTCTCAAGGGAGTGCAAATTAAGATGCCTTAACCTGTCTCTGTACTCAAGGTTCCTAATGCCCCGGGATTAGTCATGTCATTCTCCTTTGAATTCTTTCGAGGGATTCTATATCCATTCTGTAGTACGGTGACCAGAACTAAACCGCGTAATACAAGTGAGGTCTTACAAGCACAAGATATAGTTTCAGGATAACCTCGCTAGTCTTGTAACTAACGCTCCTTTGTCTGAACCCAAGTACTTTGTTAGCCTTGTTTCGAGTAAATACACATTGTTGACTCGGTTTAATATTCCTCCTTATCATTACTCCTAAATTTTTCTCACAGTCGGATTTCTCTATAACATTGTTGTTCATCTGATATATGGTTTTTTGTTTACATCTCCTAGACTAAGTACTATCCATTTGCCTACATTAAATTTCATCTGCCATTTTTCAGACCATTCGAAAAAATTGTTTAGATCTTCCTGTAGTTTTACGGAGTCTTCGTCAGATTTAATTACACGCCCTATTTTAGTGTCGCCAGCAAATTTACTTATGTTGCTGTCTACGCCTATATCTATGTCGTTTATGTATATAATAAATAGTAATGGTCCAAGTACTGAGCCTTGGGGTACTCCACTAGTGACGTTACCCCAATTGGATTTAGTGCCGTTTATGCTTACTCGCTGTTTCCTGTCCTGTAACCACGCCCTAATCCATTGTAGAATATCTCCTCCAGTTCCATGAGCCTCCACTTTACGTATTAGTCTTTCGTGGGGGACTCTGTCGAAGGATTTGCTAAAGTCGAGATATACCACATCATAATCGTGCCTGTCGTCCACTGATTCGAAAACAGCTGAAAAGAATGTTAATAGATTAGTCAGACGTGAACGCGCACTTGTGAAGCCATGTTGGGAATCATTGATCAACTTGTGTTTCTCCAGGTGATTTCGAATAGAGTTTGAAATTAATGCTTCCAGCAATTTTCCTACAATTGATGTTAAACTGATTGGACGGTAGTTAGAGGATAGTGATCTATCTCCTTCCTTGAAAATTGGAATCACATTCACTATCCTCCAGGATTCTGGTACTACACCCGTTTTTAATGACATGTTAAACAAATTTGCTAAGAACAAGGACATACTAACCTCTTCCTTACATTCCTTTAATACTCATTACAACGGTATTGTCAATATGTGTGTATTACAGGTTCTGTTTTAAGGTCATATTCTGTTGACTGCCATTTTAGATGTCAAACCTAATCTCTCTACAGTGCCACAATAGAGGTAAAATCAATCCCCTCTCCAATGCCACTACACAGTCTAAACCAAACCTACCTGTAGAGACTCTATACTGTCGATGTTAAATTAGTTCTTTCTACAGTGGCACTATAGAAAGGTCAGGTCAGGTCACCGTACTCGGCCCTTTGATATACACCGAAAAAGACAAACCTTTGAATTAAACATTTAATTGGAGTTGTCCGGAAAGGCAAGAAGACAAAGGGGAGGAGAGAGACAACAAAGTTATATATATGTATATATATATATTTGTTTTTTGTTTCCTGGTGTTGTTGTCAGAGAGAGAGAGAGAGAGAGAGAGAGAGAGAGAGAGAATATTTTTTCTCCTATTTAAAGGGTTAAATTCTCGTACTCTGGGTTAAAATCCCGTACTCAAGGGGTTAAATTATCGTACTCAAGAGGAGGAATTCTCGTACTTAAAGGGGTTAAATTCTCATACTCAAAAGGTTAAATTCCCGTACTCAAGGGGATAAATTCTCGTACACAGCTCAGTGTAAGTATGAAATGAGAGCGGAGCAGGATCACAGCCTAATATTGGAATGCCTCACGTTAAAAAATGTTCACCAGATAGTATTTGTTGACAGGAATTCGATGGGCAGCTCGTGTACCGTGTACACTGTTCGCTCTCATCTGACTATGATGATAATAGCGTGTTGCAACTACACGCTTTTATGTTTAGTTAGAATAATTATGTTGTAATTTATAAATATTGTGTTGTCCCCAATACAAATAATGTTGTGAAATAATCTTTGGATATATACTGTATATATATATATATATATATATATATATATATATATATATATATATATATATATATATATATATATATATATATATATATATATATATATATATATATATATATATATATATATGTGTGTGTGTGTGTGTGTGTGGTGTGTACTGTACACACAATGCCTTAGATTGATATAGGAAGATATAAAAGTGCTCTTGGGATTGTACAACACGATAACAGGATTATTGGTCCTTGTAAAATCAACACTATACCAGGCTACAGTGTGAGCAGTTCTCCCCAACGTGCTTCGGGCCAGCCTAGCTTTTTGTCGTCCAGTTATCTGTAACATGAACTGAGAGACCAACATAACTGTGATGCCCTGAAGGTGGTGGTGAAGACAGGTGATAGTCTCCGGGTTACTGACGGAGGCTCCACCTCCGCCCAACACCACCACCAACAACAACTTTTACGTGAAACAAAACTTGATAGACTAGAGCTAGGTAAGACGTAATAGGACGTTGACGTGAAGTTCCTTGAAGAGAATTACGTCAAATAGAATTGAAAACTAGTGTCACATTCCTCCGCCTGGGTCAATGCCATCTGAGGTCGGCAAATTAACCACACTACCTTGTCGCATCACGACCGTGGAGCTAGAGTCAGAATCCCCAATAACAACACTGTCACGTCTCCCTAGCCTCTACCATAACACTCTAGCCTCTCCCGTGAACCACCAAGGTGACGAGGGGCCTGTATTTCGCCCTGAACGGCGGTTCACTCTCATCCTCTGTCCTGGAACAGTGACTCGCCCTAAGGACCTCTACAGTACCTTTCCCGGGATCCTGCGCTTCAAGTGACTGCCTTAATCATCCGTCGTACCATAACATTCATCGCAGAGAGAAGTAGATGGCTTAAGTTTTTCTGTGGCTCCTCTTTGCTCTTGTCCCCCATGTCTTAGTTTGTATCTAGCTAGGATACTTATATGTTTAGCTTGGGCACTGGTGTAGGGTTAACAGTTAAGATTTATTATCTTTATTATTAGTTATTATTGTTATTAAATATTAAAAACCCCTCCTTCGTATAATGTCCACCCTTTTCCCCTGGAATCTTTCTTA